TTCACGACTCAAGTTAAAGTCTAAAGTAAAAAATGTAAAAAACAGAACAAATATCTCAATTAATAATAACTAATTTGAAATATTCCTCCTCTAGTCGACTCAAGTTCATTGAACTATTCGTCCTCTAGTCGACTCAAGTATATAATACTTATTCACCTCAAATTAGAAGTCTAAAGTAGAAAAATGTAAAAAACAGAATAATATCTTAATTAATAATAATAAATCTGAAATATTCGTACAGTCGACTCAAATTGACGAGTTCATATAACTCTCCGTTCTCTGGTCGACTCAAGTTAACGACTCCTCAAGCATATAGATTTGAGTTCATAACTCGAGTCGACTTTAGTTCACGATTCGAGTCGACTTTAGTTCACGACTCGAGTCGACTTTAGCTCAAGACCCGAGTCGACTTGTGCTCACGACCCGAGTTCATAACTCAAGTCAGTTTGGATCAATTTTTTCGACTCAAAACATGGCTCAGTTTTAGACTAAATTGACTAGACTCAGTCGATTAACAAAACCAATTATCTCTTTACCATCATAAATAAATAAACTTATTAAATTTAGCTCATCACTTTTATTTTTTACTCATGTAACCTAGTGTTGTTAAACGGCTCGTTTTGAGCCGATTTTTAAAAACGGCTAACTTAATATTTCATCCAGAAAAATATTAGGCAAGCCTAAAAATTTTGCTCATAAAAAGTAGAAAGGACATATATATTAGCAAAATCTCTAGGTTCAGGCAATATTTCTGGCAAAAATATTGAGTTAGCCGTTTTGAAAAATTGCTCAAAATGAGCCGTTTAACAACATTAGTAACCTACAATAATATGGATCCTATTCTCTCCTGCCTTTTTAAAAATACACCTCTTTGTGGGCACGGGTATTATGTAGTGTTGTTAAACGATTCTATTTGAGCCTAAAAACGGCTAACTCAACATTATACAGGAAAATATTTCCTAAGCGTCGAGATTTCGCCAATAGATATTCAATCCTATGTGCCACCTATGAGCAAAATCTTTAAGCTTGCATAATATTTGTCTGAATAAAATATTGAGTTAGCCGTTTTTAAAAATCGGCTCAAATTGACCTTTTAACAACACTAATATTATGATGCTTTACTATTTATCCCTTAAACTCTTTAATGTCGTCCGATCTTTATCATCTTCCTTATGATATTGTATATGATTGTCATTAGATAGAAATATGACGTGCATCCGTATTTGCCGCGAGATCGATAATTATAATATAACGCGTACCAAACATCCCAAAACTATATTTGGTTGAATAGCTTATACGAGAGTATGTATTCATTGCTTAAATATAAAACACATTTAAATTTATTATTCAAATATATTTATAATATAACATTAAAAGATACAGATATTACAAGTTTTAATCCTGGTAGCAATTGCATTAGACAAACTACAAGTACTAAGTAGTTCTTTTTTATGGAGTATTAGTATCCATACTATTAGTTGTTAAGATGGTACTTAGGAAAACTTGAAAATTTAAGTTTCCAATATTGTCAACCTTTATTAAAAGCTGTACAAGAGATATAGAAATAAGATTTTGGAAAGTTTTTAATGACAATTAATATAGGCATCATTATCATATCCGTTCAAAGAATATCGACTTAGTCAGATGATAAAAAAAATACCTTCAAAATATATTATTAAGGGAAGCTCTAATTTTAATACTAATACATAGTCAAACTCTAACTATATCAGATTTTAAATCTAATAACCAAGAAAATGATGATTTTTCTCTTAGTGAAACAAATATTTCTAAATTTAATAATAAAAAAAAATTGAGGTATAGGGGTTGAATTATATGAAATACATTAGAAACGCTAATATAAAACTGCAATACTATTTGCTCCAATTCAAAGGTTGTGAAATGTTAAACGATCCGAGTTGGATTTGAAAAAAGTAATAATTTGTGGTGTTGTTAAAAGCTACTTTTAAAAGTAGCGCACTATTTTACAAAAAAAAGTAGCGCGCTATCGCTATAGCAATTTTTGTTTACAAACAGTAGCGCGCTATTTACTTTTTACGCTACTTTCGAATTTTTTTAAAATATTTTTTAGGTATCTATATTTACATGAACAAAAATGTCTCTAAAGTTATAAGCATCAATTTATTATTGAAGATCTCAATATACTTTAGTAAGCCTTACCTACATTATATTTAATTGTAGTTTGTCATTCTATAATACTCAATAATCGCCTGCTGAGAGCTATATATCCCTCATACTTCCTTAATCTAATAATAATTTCATTTTTCATAATTATAATTATAATATTCCTTATTTTATCTTCCTTAAAATCTTTTTGTTAAATAAAATATATGATAATAAATTTATTCTCTTCTTTTGATCCTTACAGCGTCATTATGACAAAACAGTTGAGAAAATACAAATAGAAATTGACACTGTAATTCTGCCTACCGAGAAGGGTTTAACTCTATTGTCGGCTTTAATATTTTTACGCTACTTTTAAATTTTTTTAAAAATTTTTTGGTAACTCCATTTCTACATATAAAAATGACTTAAATTTAAAATATATATATAATTTATCTATTTTTTAATGCATCTCTATAATAATAACATTTCCATTAGTGATCTGTAATTCACGGCACGGTCCTATCCTAGCCAGGTCTATTTTTAAAAAATAGTTTCGGTTAGGGCTGGGTTGGGCCTAATTTTTTTTAAATTTCGGGCCGAACTGGGTCGGGCTTAAATTTTTAAATATGATAGTTTACATTTTGTCAAATAAATTGATACATTTTAAAATGCGTTAATATTTTTTATTTGTTGAATATATTGCTTACAATAAAAAAAATTAATTATTCTATATATAAATAAATAAGGGCTGGGCCTACATATATTTTTTTTCGGGTCGGGCTTTACAGAACAAATAAAAAAAATTTTGTTCTGGATCAGGGTATTTTTTTACAAAAGGTTTTGGGGCCAGGATTTAATAATTAGGCTTGATGCAGACTAATTTCCATATTGTCATTCTCAAGTCCAGACCGACGATCAGAAGGTAAAAGCTATGACTAATTAATTAAATATTTATAAAAATTTCGACTGATTTGATCCTTTTTCTAATTATATAAAATAAGAACTAATAATTAAATATTTATATATAAAAATTTCGCTTGAATTTATCTTATCCTTAATTATATACTTATGTTATGTTTTTCTTCACAAATTAGTTATATAAAATGTTATTTTATAGTTAACTATTACAATATAGATAATGATTATTTCGTATAAATATCTTGTATTTAAAATACTCACATTTAGTAAAAGATACAAGTATCTTATATCTTGTTTTTTTTAATTATATTTTTAATAAGATACTAGTATTTATACCTAATATTTTTTGTATAAAGAATGTGAATCTAGATTCTTATTTTTGAATACATGCCCAACTCTGCATCGAGTCCATCGTGGAAATATATTTTAATGTGGCTAAAAATGTTTTTAAGTGTAAATTGGGTAGCTTTACTAATAAAAACTTTGAGAATGCTTAATTAAAGGTTAAACATAACTGAATAAAAAAATCTTTGGTTCACTTAAAATTTTTTATTTTACATAAAGATTTTCATTTTGACATTAAGCACGCTTTACATGATTATAATAGAAAATTGTATTAAATGTATTTTAAATTTTCTTCCCACATGTATAAAATTTTTTTTAAAATGCATATATACTATCTAGATACCTTTTAGTAGTGTTATTAAACTGCGCCGATTAAGATTTAGCTAAAATATTATAGCGCAAGTCTCGAGAATTTCTTAATAGATGTTCGAACATTTTGGCATCTGTATCAATATTATTTGCAGACTTGAGCAATATATTTTAACAAAAATAATAGATTAGCCATTTTTATAAATCGAGCCTTTTATCAACAATATCCTTTAGGCCATATTACCTCACGAAACATTTGAAAGCATTTTTAACATTTCCATGTACTGGGAGATGAAACAGCCCGATTAAGATTTTGGCCAAAATAACATTAGGTCTGCCTGGAGATTTTTCTTATAGATGGCAGAATGGTTTGTTTTGTACTTCCATCTACAGAACATCTTTTTGTTAATATTATTTTGTCTAAAATTTTAATCAGGCTGCTAAAGATAGACATTTTCAATCAAAAATTAAAGTTATTATTATATGATATATGATATATACACTTTTAAAAAATATGCATTGATCCTAGTGTGAACAATATTTTACCTTTAATCTCAATCATAGCCTTTAAAAAATTGATTTTTTCTTAGGAATCAGAATATGAACGACGAGAGAAATCTATAAATTCAGAAAGGCATTTTTTATGCCCATATATTTATGCTTAGAATTGTATAATTTAATTTACAGCTTCTTTAATTAGTATATCCATACCTAAAAATTATAAATTTAATTAATTTTCATTAAATTTTGACAAAATTTTTAAAATCTTCAATTTATATAGTGAGTAACTATCAAGAGAAAAATTGCTAATGCATGTTTTGCTTTTTTTTCTACAAATTTTCAAAGTTAGTTGTGATCTCTTTAGATTATGTGTTATATCATATCAAAATTTCTTGAAATATTTTTAATTTTCAAAAGCACATTTGGTATATTGTTTTAAAATGAGTCAAGATTCAAATTAAATATATATAATTTAAATCTACTTTCTTTTTATTTATTAAAAAAATTTATATGCATATATTTATTTGCTATCTCAATGAACAACATATTTAAAATACCTATTAAAAAATAAGGAATTTTCCTTAATGTTTATTTGTTAAATTTAATTTAAAAAGCACCAAAATTATTTATCTTATTAAAATAGTATTTTAATTTTTTGGAAGCAATATATAAATAGTATTGACTAAATTTGATATTTTTGCCCACTTACTTCACATTTCGTACTGGTATTTACTCACTACATTTTAAATACATTACCATAACACCTTGTGGGAAAATATTTAATGAATATCATATGTTTCTTAATTATTTAATTGAAATTTTATCGCTATTTTAACCCTTTAATTATGAAAGTTAAGGATGCATCGAATACATTAACTCCTACACACTGTCATGAAGGTTCATTGTCTGATACCACAAAGCAAAAGAAATCCCGCAATAAATTAATATTAGCTTGCATTATATGCCTTGTATTTACATTGGTTGAAGTTACAGGTGAAATTAAAGTTTATTTACAATTTAAAAGTGACTATTTATAAATATACCATATTATTAAAAAAATTTATAAAGAGGAAAATTTACAGATATAAAATCAATTAATGAATTGAAATTTACACTTAGTTACATCAACAAGAATAACTACTTGTGAAAATTACAATACTCAATGATTAACAGATTAGATCAGGTTTTTAAAAAATATCAGTTCAATCAGATTGAATCAAATTTTTTTTAATTTTGTCCAAGATTGGATTGGGTTTTTAAATATTGATCTGATTTTTAAAAAATTGGTGAGTATTGTATTTAATCAGAACTGACTTTTAATATTGTCATAGACTTAATTTTTAAGCCAAAAATTTTTCCCCCTGAAAATTAAGGGTTTTTTTTCGAATAATATATTAGAAGTTTTCTTTTCTGGCAGGTAACACAAGATGCTTATATAAAACTTAAATATGTCCTTGGATAGGATTTCTGAAAATAGGGAATACTTATTAAAGCAAGACAATCTTTATCTCATTTTTAGAATTTTCTCATTAATTTAAAATTGGGGCTACAAACTGAGTTAAATTTTTAGGTTTTCAGTTATTTTATAAAGGGTTGTTCCATTTCGATTTTTATTGAGGAAATTCATATTGGTTCAGTTTAGAATTTATAACTCTTTTTGGTATGTTTAGGTTTTTTATCAATTTAATTATTAAAAAAATTGATCATAAACTATATATATTAATCTTATGGAAAAATCTTTTTAATTTGTATTTTTATAATTCCTTATTTAATTTACCCATGAAGATTATTTCCTATCTAATTAATTAGTAATTTGCTTAATCCATATTAAATTGAGTATGTAAAGTAAAAACAATAAACTTGGTATTGATTTGAAGATTATGCCTATTTAATTGTAAAAAATTTAATTTAAAAAGAAATCACAAATTTAAATTGCCCCCAAGGATAATTAAAATTACAAATTTAAGTTAACAATTTAAAATTAACTATTTTTGAAAACCATTATGAACTGATTTATACTGGTTCAAATTAGCTGGTTGCCCATTGTTAACAATATTTAATAAATTAATAGCAGATAATATTAGTTATCAAACTGGCTAAGTGAGATATACCAATATTTGGTTGGGAAATATTCACATCGAAAAAGAATGGATATATTATAAAATGCATTATTAACCCTACTCCAATCGATGTTTTGGAGGATTTGGCAGATCGGATCAAACTTTTTTTTAGGCCACACTGGCAACTGGTGGAGAAGGCAATGGAACAGATATTGATAAATATGGTAGCATTATTTTTACAATGGGGGATTGGGAGGAATGGATTTGACAATAAAAAAATGGATAATCTAAAGCTTAAGATTTTGTAGCCTTTTTCCCCAATGTTCTAATTAATGAGAGTCTTTCAGGAATTCATACCATTTTTATTGAATTTTTCTCCACCCCCCCCCCCCTAACTCATGTTTCATATTTTTATATAATTAAATTATTATCTTGGACTTGGACTATATTTTTAAAAGATTCAAAAATTAATTTTATATAAATTTGAATTTATCAACTGTTGATGTTTAGTTGCCTAAAATTTTAAAAAAGATTTTAATGATTGTGTATTTTTTTCATTTTATATTTACTAATTAGAAACCTGCAAAATTGATTTTTTTGCCTGAGCATTACCATAGTCAAGTGACAAAATTTATTTTATATCTAAGCTTAGCCCATTGTTGCATGTGGCACAAATTTTTTTAAAAAAGCTTATAGGGAAAGAAATCTCAAACTCAAAATATATATTTTTGTTCTCTATTTCAATATTGTACATTTAATTAAAATATTTTAGGCATTGTTAATAATTTAATGATTTATATCTTATTTTATTATAGTCATTACAAAATATGATATAAAAATGAATAATAAATATTTTGCACCTCCATTTTTTGAAACTTTTCTTAATTTTTTTAAACTTTTCTTAATTTTTTTAAAGCTTTTCTTATTTTTTTAGATTCATTTTATAATTGTGATATTCAATCAGGCAAAAGGAAGAATAGGAAGGAAATATAATATTAATATTTTTTGGGCCACATGCTGGACCTATATTTTATTAATCATATTACCGAGGGCTAGACTGACCGGCAGGCCCTGCAGGACTCTAATATAAGAGAGATCGGGATAGGTTGGGATATTTTTTGTTCAAACCTGTATAGATTTAATAATATTAAACTAATATGAATAAATAAAGCATCTTATAAATTCTTAAAAGTGTAAACTATTTAAAATAATTGAGATATATTTTTTAGGAACTATACTTTTTTAGAAAATTTAATCTGAAAAAAATTTTTTTTGGTCCAACCTTGCCATATTCTGAGTACATTGGTCCAACAATATATGATAGTTGGTCCACCAAAGAAATAAGGGTCTAAATATAAGAATTTTTTTATAAGTTTGTATGTATATTAATTTATCGATAACATCATAATACACAATAATTAAATAAATTATTGAATTTAGAGATTTTAAAAATTTTTAGGAATTTTTATATAAAAAATTAAAATAAAATACTATTTAAAAGCATATTGTAATTAAAAATTAATATTTTAGATGGATATTCATTGAAAATTATTTTTATATGTTAAAATCAAAATAAAGTAATAATGAATGGGACCAACTATTCTATGACCAACGATGACTTAGCCCATTAGCTTTACAATGTCATTCAGAATTATATTAACCCATATTTTACATTATGAAAATTGTCAGATTAAAAATTATGGGTTTAAACTTTCCTAAAATTTATTAATTAATATTTTAAAAGCTTTATTTATAAATCGAAATAATAAAATTTACAATTATTTTTTGTTACTTATGGTTGCTAAAACACATTTTCCCCTATAAAAATTAAAATACACAAAATATTTTCCAAATCTTTTTAGCCAATCATGTATGTAATTAACTTGTTAGGCTTAAATTTTCAGTCTTATAATAGTTTATATTATAAATGGAGTGGACTGACGTTCTCCTATACTCATGTCTCGGTCTCCCCATATACTCATACGGCATCTTGAAGCGCTTCATTACGTATTTTGGGTACAACAGAACTATGCTAGTTTATCCTCATTCCATGAAATGCAACTGATAAAAATTACATGGGAGTCCTTTGACTGAGAAATTTGGTGTTGTTTAAGTAACTAATTACGATTAACATTTTTACAAAAAAAATAACTACTTATTTTGAAACAAAGTAACAGTAACTTTTACATTTTTTTCCTGTATTTGACATCCAAAATAAATAGTTACTTTTCAACTTACTTTTATAAAATATGTTTTTTTATTGTATATCAATAAATTTATTTTAATATATAATAATTATTTAACCTTTTTTTAAATTCCCCGTCAGAAACTCATTATATTTTTATTCCATATTTTAAAATTACTAGTTGTCATCGCACTAACATTCACTCACCTAATACGTGTATTTTTTTAAAAAAAATGGCCAATTTGAAAATTTTAAAAAATATCCGATAAAGAATCAAAGTTTAAAACAGAAATTAAACGTTTCCTGTTCTGAAAAAATGGTTTCGTTAACTGTTCCGATGGTTCTAGTTCCGGTTCCTAACTGTTAAAAAGCTATCAAAAGAAAATTTTAATATAAATAAACTCTTTAAAATGAATTACGCAACATTTAACAATATATTAGAACCCTGACCAATCATTCGATCGGGTCTGTTGACATTTTCTCGGACTCGATTGGATTAGGACCTCGATTTTAAAAATTATATTTCGGACCCCATTGGATTTGAGCCGATTATTTTTTATGAAAATTATCTCCATAACACACAAAACTATTTATTTTCCTCGAGCGATTATAAAATTTTTTCAACTTCGTTAAAAATATCGTGTTTTTTTAACATCCGGTATATATAAAAAATTTGAATCGAACTGTCCCCTGGACCTATTTCTAAATTAAAATTTCGGTTTAGGTCAGACCTGAAAATAGGTTCGATGCTCTTACAATAATATTTTGTTAGAACGGGTTCTCGGAAATTTAAAAATGGGTTATGTTTTAAAAGATTTGTCACTGGCTCCTATCTCTAGGATTATCCCACTTCCGGAGGTTCCAGGTTGTGTTTCCGTTGCATGGTGCCTAAAATTTATTGAAATGAGTTAATAAATTATATATTTATAACTTTTTTAAAATTACAATACACTTAACGCGCAACAACAAAAAGTTGATGTAGAGAGTAGGAATTTTTTGTTGGGTGGTTTGGTCTCTTCCAACCCCCGGCTTGAGTTTGTGATTATCTTTTTATACTGATAACTCGATTTGCTATTTTTTTATATTGATAACTCGGTTTGCTATTCATGTGATAAATAAGTCATTTTAATTAAAAAATAAAATAAAGATTCGGTAATTTAGTTCAGTATTAATATCAATTAACTTTCCTAATTTGTGTGTCTACAATTTATTATTAAAATAAATTATATTACCTTAGTAATATTTTTAATATAAATTTAAATGATGAGGAAATAGTAAGGAGAAAATTTTATATAAAAAAACAAGAACACATAAAAATTTACCAAAAAATAGTTATCACAATTTAGATATTATAAAAACCACCAGTGGCGCCATTTATTCCCTATTTTGATCAAATCAATATGGCGAAGGAGTCATCTTGGGGGAGTGGCATTAAGTATTTATTCTATTGGAATGTTAAGGTTTATGATATAAAAATAACAACTATGACTATGATTTAATAAGGAAAATAGATTAAATCATATTTAACAATGTTTATTGATTTAAATTATCTTTCAAACGAATCATTGTTTAACTTATTTATTATCTGATAACAACCATTTTTTACTCATTATATATTTACTTAGGTGTGAATAATATAATAATACCTTGCTTGCCAAGTATTTTTTTTATCAGATTTTTATAAGTTGATATTTTTATTCCTGTTATAATTAAATTTATTTGAAAGTACACGCGATTACAGAGTATAATTAGCCGACGAAAAAAAATCTTATAATGACTATTTCCTTATCTCAACTCCTTTTTAGATTTTGGACTTTATTATGCAAATTATCCTTTTATATACCATAATCTATTTGTTTTATTTAAATTAATTATTGAGCTATTTAACAACTTTACATTATATATTTAGCACGTTTTAATATTTTTTTTTTTGAATAATCTGATTTTGCCAGAAATGTGTATTCCGACATATTAGCAGAATATCGACCATATTACAAATATTGATTAAGATAATAAGCATATTGACTCTAACATATACTAAATATAGTTAGCTTCACGCAATTGTGAGTATGACTTCGAATTTTTTGAAATTTATTTTATATAATAAATGATAATGATTTTTTCTTTAAAATTAAATTTGATAAATCAATCTTATTACGTAGTATTGTCGGTGCTATTTTTTAAAACGGCTATCCCATTATTTTCTCCAAAAAAATACCAAGCCTGGAATTTTTCTCATATATAGCAGAAAGGTTTGGGCATCTAATAACTAAATCTTGAGGCTCACGTTACTTTGGCTAAAATATTAATTTAAAATCCGCTAAATCGAACCGTTTAACAATACTATTATCATATTTATATAATTTCAATAACTATGAATCATTTAATTGTAAACTGTTATGATATTTTCATTTTATATTTAACATATCCTAATGAGGATTTTCGATTTTCATTTTAATAATTAAGGCAGAAAATGTAAAGAAATTTGACATTGAAAATACAATAGTCAGCGTCCTCAGTTTTTTAAGGATGCGATGAATATCCAGTTGCCTAAATTAAATCTTTTCCTTGGTAATAGTTCATAGTCTGAAAATAAATTTTATAGATATTATCTACCATGTAATATAATAGATTGCTGGAGATAATAAATTATTTTTAAATTTGATTGATAAGGCGGATATTTCGCCGATAGTTTAGCAATATTGACCGACGCCGCTCATTTGCTCACAGATTTCGGGAGTTTCGTTATAAGTCTTTTCTCTCTCTACATGTCATGCCGACCCCCTTCCAAAAGATTAAATTTTGGGTGGCATAGAGCCGGTAACTTTTATTTATTTATTTTTTACTTATATTTTTAAATAGAAAGAAAGATTATTATTATTATAAGGAATCTTCTCAAGTTATGTTGCATAATAATATTTTTAACAACGAATAACTTTTTTTTACCAAAGTTTTGGTTCGCTAGCCAATTGTTATATTATGTCTGTTTTTGATAGATTTTTTATGCATCGAATTTTTAAAAAAAATAAATAGCCAGTTCAAGTTCAATCTCTCTCATAAAAAAAAGGAATTAGTTTCTTTCGTATCTCCTTGTTTAAAAAACTGTAATTAAAATTTTTTGTTGTAAAAAAAGAAGAATGAATATTTTAATATGATTTTAGAAATGGAATTGATCCCCCCCCCCTCAAACTTTAACTATTTTAAATACACGTATAATGTAAATAATATAATCAGAAGTTTTGGGTGCTTTTGCTTCTATATTGCTCATCTGGGTGTTGACCGCAGTTTTGATGTACTTTGCCGTGAAACGGGTAATAAATAATAATTACGATATCAATGCGTCCGTTATGCTCATCACCGCTACTTTCGGAGTTGTCGTCAATATCATGTGAGGATTTTTTTATAACTAATAAATTGAAAGGCAACTCAAGTTTTGCCAAGCTTATAAATATTGTCTTAGCTTCTGTAATCATTTACCTTAAGTAAAGATAAATAACGTTACTGAGAGTTTTTGTTTCCATTAGGATTTTCATCAACCAAAAATATCAGTCAATTAGATTAAGGCCATACTCTGGGTTTTCAAGCCTGATGGTAGGGTAGTTAAAATCTAACCGGGGTCAATTGCAATACTACAGCTATTTAACTTAAAAAGAAACTTGAAACCTCAAAGTTGAGACTCAATTAAAAGATTGAGGCGATTTTTTTTATGGTTTAAACTTAGACAAGAAGCCATTTTAGGACTGAAGATAAGTGATTTAACAACACTTACCACCTGATGGCGAGGAAAATTTGCACCATGGACAGGGATCTCTATTCGGTGAAAGAAAGTTATTCAAATTAAATCTAAGCGTGCTTAAAACTTTTAACCCCCCCCCCCCCACATTGGTAACTAGACCTAGACATTAATTTAACCAACCCTTTCCTATAATTTTATATAAAAGATATTTAAATTATATTTCCTTTTCGTAATTGCTAAAATTCATATAATAGTTGCTTCAAAGAACCTTTTTTTAGGGCCGCGTTAGTGTTGTTAAACGGCTCAATTTAGTCGATTTTTAAAAACGGCTAACTCAATCTTTTAGCTTGAATAATAATGTTAGCCTCGAGATTTCGCTAATAGATATCCAAACCTTCGTGCCATCTATGGGAAAGATCTCATGCTTACGTAATATTTTTCTGGATAAAATATTGAGTTAGCCGTTTTTAAAAATCGGCTCAAAACGAGTTGTTTAACAACACTAGTCCGCGTCGCGGTTTAACAAATCGAATATATAGATTTGCTCAGCCCAACTCTAAAATATCGGCTTGGGTCTTACGGCGTTAGCCGCCTATTTTAGGAAATTTATTGTTTTGGGCGATACTCATACTGATACATTTTATATGCCACTGGAATATTTTTTTTTAATTAATATTTAGCTATAAAATTAGAACATTTGAGTCTTAATTTTATTTATCGATATTAAGAATGGGCCTGGTGCTACATCCTCACGGCCATCACAATCATTCCCATGCCAATCATCATAATAACAATTCCGATCAAGATCACCTAATATGCAACGATAACCTAGATTCACCGAGTCCAGGAGATCGTCAAAATGGTTAGAAATTAAATTATTGGGGAAATTATTATACATATTAACTCTTACGCGTCTTGATACAGATAGTGTTGTTAAGAATCTCGATTTGTGCTGATTTTTAAAACAGGTTAACTCAATATCAGACATTTAAAAATAATTTTTTAACTCCCTTAGGAAGTAAAGATGACTTCGACAATACCGAAATACGTGATCTGGCCCATAGTAGCGAACCTACAAGCACTTGTAGCAATAGTAACAATACCTTTCTCACTCCTCTCCTTAGCCCTGCTGCTAGAACATTAATTCCGGATGTCACAATTGCGCAGAAGAGGCGTTACGACTGTAAACACCATTTGCTTTTACCATGAATACATATGTTAGCGTTAATTTGTATTTTTTTAAACTTTAAATCATTTTTTTGAGCTCATTTTTTTTAAAAAAATTTTAGAATCGGATTTTACCGGAAATCTATTCCAGCATGTTTAGAATAATTTTATGAATTGCATATAATTTTGCCGTTAACCTTTGAGTCATTTATAATATGAAAAAACTAATAAACTATATTAAGTTCAAAAATTTTATGACAAAATTGCCTGAATATAAGGTAGGTATTCCAAACATGATGGGATACATTTCCGGTAAAGTCCGATTTAAACGAGTCATGATTTAAAGTTGAAAGAATAGCACATTACCGCTAACACATACAATAATTCACTTTATAATACACAGTGAAACTCGTCTAAATTTCGCTTTTTATAATCTGGGCGCTTTATTTTAAACCATAATATTTTTTCGGTCACACTCAAAACCTCGTAAATGACCTTTTTTAAAATTTTTTAGGAGGGACAAAAAAACAACTTTTCTTTAAAATTTCTATTTTAATAAGAATATTTATTAATCATATAATAAAAAAACATATATATTATAAAAATTTAATACATTTTATGTTTATGCCTAATAAAATTTTATGAACATTTTTCGAGGTGGCCTTATGTATCCCATCAGAGTATTGAACCATTAAATATAGCTGTTTCGTTACATTCCAGTTATTTTGAACATTATATAGGTTTGTTTCCGGGTTATAAATTAATATTGATTTGTTTAGATTTTTAAATTAATCATTTTTTAATATGACATCTAAAATAAAATTTAAATTTTGTAACTTTTGAAAATTAAAATAAGTTGAATAACCTTAGTTTGTTATAAAACACAAATTTAAGAATATAGTTACATTAAATAGTAACCTTGCCTAAAATGTAAATTAGTTACATAGCATAGTTACCTTACTTGAAAATGTTCGACATGCACCTAATGGTTTAGGCCTTTACTCATTATAGTAACGAAACTATTTTATTAAGTTTTTACAAAATCAGATATAAAAGTATCTTGACCGTTATTTTTAATTTAAACCGTTACAAATGGCCGATGCCCAATTTTTTTTGAGTATCAGTGATATCCGTGCATCAATTCTTTAATATTATAAGCTTTTATAAATTTGAATAATATCGATTTTTTGTATAAAATTATTTTTCTCCTCCATTTATATACTAGCCGCATCGTTAGCCATCCGCGCCGCTTACATCCATGTGATAGGAGATTTGGTGCAAAGCTTTGGAATACTCATAGCTGCATTTGTAATTTATTATAGGGTAAATTTAAATTTGTTTTATTATTTTACATAATTTGAAATTAATCTCTGATTAGTTTAAAACTATTAGTTTACGAATTGTGAAAAATATAGTACTACCAATCTATAAGTTAAAATTCAAATTTAAAAAATATATACTATATTTTTTAAAGCCTGATCTGAAAATTGCCGACCCCATCTGCACATTCATATTTTCATTTTTAGTAATACTCACAACACTCTCCATACTGAAGGATATAGTTATGATACTAATGGAGGGTAATTTATAAATATATTGATAAATAAGCACAATATTAATATATTCATAAACATATTTTTTGATAGTAATTAAAAACGCGTATTCTTATTCAAATTATAGTGCCTTTACATTCCTTATATCTGAGATTCTATATCTCTAAGAAAGAAAAAAAGAAAGAGAAAAAAATAAAGAAGAAGAAAAATATGCTAAATATAGATAAAGTTATTTTTACATAATGACGAAATGTTTGAAATTAAAGCCACACCTTCCGATATCAAATACGCTCACGTAAAACAATCGCTTCTTACGATTCCCGGTTTAACATCCATCCACGATCTCAAAATATGGTGCCTGACTTCCGAAAAGAAGATTGCCATATTTCACGCTGTCACTGGTATTAATAAATTTACTATTTATCGAGCAAAAATAATTAAGGAAGAAATTAGTCTTATATAGCCTTTTACCTCATGGAATTTCATTTTTAATTAAACCTAAGTTGCATAGTGGCGCAGCTCCGATTTTTATTAAAAAGTCACATGATAAGCAGGGTCACATACCCCATTTATAACGTCCCATCTTTTTATTGGTCCCGCAATAATACTTAAATATGCATCCTGCAATCTCTTTCAAGGATTTATATTAATTTATTATGTCCATTTGAATAATTACACATATTATACCATTTAAAGAAACTATGATGGGCGAAATGTTTTTTTTAACAAAATTAGCTATTTGAATTAAAAATTATAGATTTATTTTTCTTTGAAAAAGAAAGAACAAAAAAAATTTTTTTTTTAAAGCTAAAGGATGTAATTAATAGAAAACAGTACACCGATTTAATTAAATGCTCCTCGAGGGAATACAAATTTTAATCTTTGAAATTATTTTAAGAAAAACATTAAATCAGGGTTTTACTTATTTCCCAACCTCATAGGATCTTCCATCCTAAGCTTATCATTATGCTCTACATTTATTATTAAATAATTTATATAAACATTTTGCTCTCCCTCAGCATTGCCCTCCTCCCTCCACGAGCTACTCTACTTAATTACTCAGATTAAAATTTATACTTTCACAGAGTTACCTTTGTCCAACAATAGTGACATTCAAAAATGTGCGACTCAAATGCTGAAAGAGAAGTTTGAAATCGACATAGTCAATATTCAGATTGAAGAATTCAGGGAAGAGATGAGGAACTGCCAATTTTGTAATGACCCAATTTAATCCATTCATTTATACTTCAAACAAACAAAAATGGCAGGTTTAGGAAAACCTACAATGCAACCTTTAAATATATATTTTTTTTTAAAGTTTAAAGTGTTTTTTTAACAGTAATAAATATTATACATAAGATTTTAACTTACAACATCATTTTTAAAAAAAATAAATAAATAGAATTATTAATAAGCATTTTGTTTGGCAATATTATATAAACAATTAATTGCCCAACCACTAACGACGACCAAATATTATATTAATTAGAAACCAAATATAGAAAGAAATACTTGCAATATTTTATAAGAAATTGTATATACTCGAACTTTTATTTGACATTTGTAAATAATATTTTTATATGTTGTTTTTTATATTTAGACTTGATAAAAGATTTTTTAAAGTTGTTTTTATTTTAAAAAAATATTTGCAAAAAGTGGCATCCTTTTGCGAAGCCTAAATTTATTTGTGCATACCTGAAATATTGTTTTATCTTTATGATTTAATTAAGTAATAAGATAAAGAAATTTTTTTTATCAAATAACATAAAAATTTATGAAAATGAAAGATTATACTTAGTTTTCTTATTCTTTCTTATGGTTGCGTTCAAAACCTGTTTTGAAAGACTCACAAATATGTTTTGGTCATTTATTCTTCTAGTTAAAAGGGGTTAGGGGGGGGGGGGGTGCTTATATTTTCATGTTTAAAGTTTTGAGTTCGATATAAATTTTTGGATGTTTTGGACACAGCCTAACAAAAATCTTTATTCATTTTTTTCATTAAAATTATATTTGTAAAATAACATCTAAAAACATAGTTTAAAAGAAAGAAGCCGTCATTGAGTTCCAAGGAAACGATATAATTTTCTCAGAACACAGCTATTTGGGTTGATTGTAAAACTTTGAAAGAGGATCCATTGTCCCTATTGAATGAGATTTTTTTTGCCTATGATCTTTAAAAACTTTAGCATAAGGAATCTAAGGACCAATTCGTAATCTTATCTTCTTATCTTATCTAGCACGTTGGTCATAGACCTGCCCAAAATGAGCGAACGTGAATTTTATGAAGGCCCACCCTTCATAAAATTATGCCGATTTTTTTTCTCAAGTATACCAACAAACCTTGTACCCAGTTGTAGTTTAACTAAATGAGTGGAACTTAACCTTTCCGATATTGTAATTTAAATAAATAATAATATAAGGCATATATATCTTATTTGTTTATTAATCTTGAATAGTTATATTCATGATAAGGAATGAGTTAAGAATATTTGAATCTATAGACATCTAAATTCCATTTCATTTGTTAGGTTATATTCTTCCAAAAGATGAACCGGAAAAACTTCGCCATTTGGGATGGATAGATGAAAAATCCTCAATTCGTAATAATAACTATTGGAGTAAAATAAAAATTTGAAAGGTCGTGTTACTTTCTTTTCAACCTGTCAGCTGTTATAACCGGGTAACTATTTGGATTAGAAGAGAACTAGGACACATGTCAAATCCCAAATAAGATGTGTTTCACTAAACCAAGGATCTGTAAGTCCATCAGACAGGAATAAGTGAATGAGTTCAAGGAAATTTGGATAGTTAGCAAAACCTAATTTATTATTTGAGATTATGAAATTAATTATTGAGGTGCATGAATGAACAGCTCTTTAGAAAACAAAAAATCTTGGCCATGTCTACCTTTAGAGTTAGACTTTTTTCCATGCCCTTTACATTTGAAAGAACCTTAGGAAATATTCATCAAATGGGAGACTTAGGGTGCTTTTCAGGTAAGGTGACAAAGGAGGATATATCGTTAGCTATAATAACATTGAATTTCACTTATTTTAGAAAATAATATGAAAGTATTATTTAACATTTGAGGGGCAAGGTGAGAAAAAATAACGCAAGTGATTTTGTAAACCATAGTTTACCCACATTTTAAAACAATCTCACTCACTTTTCCATGCTAAGTCTTGAATTAAATTTTGATAGAGTAAGGTTATAATGTATGTAATAATTATTTTAAACATGTTTAGGTAATTTTAATTATATTAGTAAATTACATTTATGTATATTTTAGAGCCCCCTCTAATGCAATGTACAATGTTATCCCATAATAAGGAATGATCATTACTAATTACAATTATAGATATATAATATTGGCTACCCAATTTTCTTTGATTATGGTATGTTAGTTTATATTACAATATATTAAATTTATGATTGTGATTTGTTGAAATAATTTTGTCAAATTTTAGTTATTTTTCATCTTAATTCCCTATAAACTGACTCGATTAAATTCTAAAAGAAATTAAGGATATTAAGCTCTATTTATTCTTCAATAAAATACGAAATTTTCTAAAGGAAACAAGAACGCACTTTAGATATATATAAAGAATTTAAAGCTGTACATATTTTTGATCCAAAATATAGTTTTCCTAGGGTATCTCCTCCAAGTCCGATTTCACCCCTCTAACCTCTATTGAATATTGTAATACGATATTACTCCCCTACCAGGCACTTAACTAAGGGAGGGGGAATTCCCACCATGGAAATTGTCTGTTCTCGTAAATACCATTCTAATCTAATAAAAATAAACCCTCTACAACCCCCCCCCCCTTCCTCCCTCCCACCCTTTCTCCTCTTGCCAATAATATATCACTATAAGAAAAAAAATTAATAAAAGATTATAACTTTTTAAATTCAAAATTTTTAGAAAAATAAGATTATTTTAAAAATGTGAAAACCCAAAATTATTTTTATTAAAATTCAATATAGTAGGCCTACAATAAGAGGACCTAAATTTCCTATAAAATTTATGGGGAAAACCCCACTTAATAGTGCTCCCTCTCCTTAGCGAAATTCTAGATATGCCTATGTTTCCTATCAAATTAGCAAAGAAATCAAAATTTGTATATTATCTACCCTCACTATTAACTTCAGTGTTAATGACGATTTTACGTTATACTTCTCCGCCCTCAGCGTCCACATGATAGGATATTCACTGGATGCAAACCCACTTCATATCCCTATGCCAGCCCCCGTAAAAACGATCAGCCAGGGGCGGCGATATTCCCACATTATTATTATCACTTTTTAATGATAATTGTACTCCCTTCATAACTTAAAAAAAAACTTAAATTACTGTTCTACTTCTACTGCCAACTATCAAAATATTGTGTAAAAGAGTTAATTTTATAACATGAATTCAATTAAAAACTCCCTCATTTACAATGAATGCATTATTGTACAGTGTTGGGCATATTTAATTTAAAACATTTCCATATTTTCTAATTCGTTTGTAAATAAAATTATTTAGCTTTGTAAAAATTGATAAGAATATATGAATATGTTATTTTAACAAATATTTGCAAGTCAAAAAATTTTATTTTCAAATAAATTAAAAATATGGAAATGTTTTCCATCAAATCTAGTCAACACTGTAGTATATTCTTTGGTAAGAATATGAGTTTACTGATAGTATTTTTAACCATTTTAAATTACATTCAAAAGGATAGCAAAAAACGATCCAGAAATAGTTATATTTGGAAAATAATGTCTCTGTGATTGTATGCCATATATAGATTTTGTTGATGTTTAGCAATATCGTTGTATTATATTATAATCGGTCTATCATAAAAGTATTAATTTTTACAGCAATATATTTTGCCCTATTTCATCTAAAAATTTAATAGATAACCAAATTTATTCTACCCCCTCAAATAAATTTGGATGCAAACTGTTCTACCTCTCTCGATCATTAGACACTGCTGCCCTCTCCCCATTGATAAAATGACTGCCTGTCTCTTTGAATGACGGTTAAAAAAATTCATAGACTTTTTAAAAAAATCAAGTCGCTTTCACTCTTCAGGACTGATCAATCATTGAAAAATTATTCCGAAATTTATATTATTTTTTCAAAACCTTGAACAATTTAAATTTATGTTTTTCTCTTCAAAAAAAAATTTGGTTAGGGTAACTTGTAAAAAAATATTATACTAGCTGAGCCTCATGAAAAAAAATTAATTTATTCATTAATCTAATCTTTAAAAGTATTTTGATAACTTATAACATATTAATATATTGTATAATCAAATATCGTTAATATTAAAAAAAACAATGTATAATATATTAATTTAAAATTATTATTTTTAAAAGCATTAATTAAATTTTTTCTTAAAAAAAACTTAAATCATAATTTCAGGCGGGGCAGGTCTTTTGCAAAATGGGCACATTCTAGAAATACTTAAATTATTTGGTGAAAAGGGAATTCTACATTTAGGACATATATTTACATTAGCACCATATTGATTGGGATCATAGGTACTTTGAATTAGGTTGCTACTGTTCCATATTTGGGGATTATTTTGCGCACCCTGGAGGCCATCATAATTACTAAAAGGCTGTGTATTTGTCAGAGTAGGATTCATTTGATTATAACTACCTCCCAAATTATAATTATTTGCGTAGTTCCGGGGCTTTTCTTTGCTAATAAAGGTTTTATGAATATTGTTTTGTTCGTTCACCAGCAACCTATTAATAACGATTAAAATTATATATAATTATAAAGGTTATAATTTTTCTATAAAAAGAACAGAATTACATTTTTAATCCCCCCCTCCCAGCCTATATACAACAAAAGCTAATTAGTGTATAAATTGATGGAAGGATCATATGTATATTTTCAATATCATCAGCATTTCAGTGACATGAAAGAATTTATAGAAAGTTTACCAATTTGCAGAGATTATGAACTTCCGGTAGTTTGAATTAGACCTAAACCAATCGAGTGTCATTTTCATACATTGAACCAACTGATCTATACTCATCAAGGTAAATCTAACACATCCCATAATTTTATCCAAGTACATAATTCTATCCGGGGTGTGCTTTAACCACGTTACTGCAGCGTTAAAAACTTCCAACTCATTAGACAAGCTTAAATTATCTCCCGACAAAATAGAGAATACACTGTTTAAATCTAGATTCAAAAAATTTGGTGTTGTATACATTTGCCCTAAATTTTGCAACAATGGATTACTAATAGCGGGTGTCATTTGTCTCTGTAAAGGTGGTATTGTAGCACTCGGAAAATATGGCATCCTATTACTTTCCATAATGTTACTACCCATAAAACTTTGATCCATAATAGGAACAGGAGCTGGTAATTGAAATTGAGAATAAGTAAGTTGCGGTGGTGGCATAGGTAATTGATTATAATTAGGAAAAAAATCCGTAGTTAAAGTGTTAACCAATTTGATATCCGACATAGTAGATAGTGGTGGTATTAATGGTAATGAT